CTCCTCCTCTTCCTCTCCTCCTCCCATCCTTCTCCTCTTCCTCCTCCTCTTCCTCCTATCGTCTTCTTTCTCCCCTTCCTTCTCCTCCTCCTCTTCCTCCTCCTCCTCCTCCCATCTTCCTCTCCTCCTGCTCCTCTTCCCATCCTCCTCTTCTTTCTCCTCCTATCCTCCCATCTTCTTCCTCCACTTCCTCTTCCTCCTCCTCCCCATCCCCTTCCTTCTCCCATCCTTCTCTTATTTCTCCTTCTCCCCCTCTTCCTCTCATTTCTTCCTTATCCTCCTCTCCTCCCATCCTCCTCCTCCTCCCATCCTTCTCCTTCCTCCCCTTCTCCCTCTTCTTTCCTCCCCCTCCCCCTTCCATCCTTCTGCTCCTTCCTTTCTTCTTTTCATCCTCCTCCTCCTCCCATCCTTCTCCTCCTCCTCCCATCCTCTTCTCCCTCCCCTTCTTTCTCCTCCTCCTCCAATCCTCCCCTTCCTTCTCCTCCCCCATCCTCCTCCTCCTCCTCCTCCCATCTTCCTCCTCCTCCCATCCTCCTCCTTCCTCTTCCTGTACCTCATTCTCTTCCCCACCTCTCCTCCTCCTCCTCCGAATATCTTCAGTTTTCTTAGAATTTTTATATATCTGTTGGCCAGATACAGCTTCATAGTATTGCTTGGAATTGTGTTTGGCTGTCAGAAAAAAACAAAACAGCCAGGTAAATTGGAGACGGGAAGGTAGGGTGACCTCACCCATGAAGGTACTTCCAAATTCCAAATATGCCCACCTGGGCAAAACCACCCCCACCCCCCGCCCAAACGCACCTGTCCTTATATTGACTACAGTTCCGTTGAACCCAAATGAAAATAGGTTTGCTTATGTGAGATGTCCATGTGTTTGTCTTGGAGAAGAATCCCGAGTAGGCTTGTAATCCGGGCAGGTTGCGCGGGTGGGGGGGGGATTTGTAGATCATCTGGCAATACACCAGGTGAACCCATTGATTTAAACCTAGAAATTGTTTTTTTTTTAAAAAAAAACCCACAAAATTGCCTGCAAATCAGCACCTGGGTTCCTAATGTTATTTTTGTCCTTTTAAGGAGATCCCGACGACAACTTGATCGAAGGGGGCGGGACGAAGTTTGTCTGCAAGCCTGGAGCTCGGAATATCACAGTCATCTTCCACCCCCTTCTGAGGTAACCCCCCCCCCACTTCCTTTCTCATAGAGAGAGAGACAGACAGACAGACGGACAATGTATGTACAATATATGTGTGTGGAGGTAGGTAGGTAGGTAGGTAGGTAGGTAGGTAGATAGATAGATTAGATAGACAGAGATAGATAGATAGATAGATAGATAGATAGATAGATAGATAGATAGA